AGGTGAGCGTGATTTCACCAAGAACAACATGCTCCTGAATCTTTGTTGATCCTGAAACAACAATCCAATCAAACAATTAGATTTGGGGATAAGTTCACAGTTTATGTCAAGGCTTAGAACCAGGGTTAGGTGCTTCTACATCAGGGTTATTCACCTATCATTTCCCTCTGATCTTAGGGATAAGTTATGGGTAGGGATAGGAATGCTGTTTCAGGGTCAACAAAATATGTTGATCCGGAAACATTTCTTACTTGTGTTCGACACAATATCGAACCCACACAAAGGGTCGTAACACTTGGCAAAATCACTTTGCAATGTTTTCTTCAACAGCTGGACACTGTGGCTCACCAGAGCCTATTGTGAACGGCCAGATCATCGGTGAGAACTACAACTACAGAGGCAGTGTCGTTTACCAGTGTAATCCTGGATTCCGACTCATCGGCGTGTCAGTTCGCATCTGTGAGCAGGACCACCGCTGGTCCGGAAAGACTCCCGTTTGTGTCCGTAAGTGTTGCTTAAGCAACTATCTGATTTGACAGTTGACAGTTGTATGCCGAAATAATCATTTTAATGGCGTTAATATGTTGCTCTGATTTTCTGTAGCTATCACCTGTGGACATCCAGGCACCCCTGCTAATGGTGTGACTCAGGGAACGCAGTTTAACCTGAATGACATTGTGCGTTTCGCCTGCAACCCTGGTTATGTTCTACAGGGTGTGATCAATTCTCACTGTCAGCCCAACGGCCAGTGGAGCAACACTCTACCCAGATGTAAAAGTAAGTCCTGTTACTTCCTCAGCGGCACTCCAGTGTGTGTGTGTGTGTCATAGTGCTGTGTCACTTTAAAATAACTTGACTGTTCTATTCAACTCAGTTCTATAACTCAGCATGGTGTAGAACAAGAGTACATATTCTAATATATCTTAAATGAAAAATAACAGAAGTTAAACTTTTACGGAAAACAGCATTTAAAGGATTTGAAATAAGGAAAGTAAGGGTTTACATTAAAAGACTCAGCATGAAAGCTTGGACACATTAGTGCATTTTTGCGTCAAATCTTGCTTCTATTGTCTATAGTTAGTAGTGTAGCAATGTATGAACCAAGCCACTTTCTATTGGTCAACATGGCAAATTCGCTTGACCAACTTGAATCCATTGCGGAATCTCCTTGAGGAAATTATTCGCTCTCACATGACTGGATTTCACTGCAAAGTAAAAGTTGCATTGTTAAACGACGTACAGCTATTATCACTAGGGTGTACTCACTTTTGTTGCCAGCTATTTTGACAATAATGGCTTTATGTTGAGTTATTTTCAGAGGACAGTAAATATATACTGCTATACGAGCAGCACATTGACTACTCTAAAATATATACAAGTTTCATTTCTATAGTATTGTCCCTTGAGAAGATATACTAAAATGTTTGCTGAAATGTGTACTCACTGTTGTATATAAACAGTGTGTATTGTAAATTTGTGATTTTTTTTTTTTTTTTTTTGTGAAAAAAAATTGTAAATGTACTGTATAGCATCACTCTGATCAATCTAATTTACCTTGCTTGAATCTTTAAAGTTGCATTAATCGTCCCCTCAATCCTACCCTTTCTTTAGATTGTAAATGTGTGTTTACTCTGACTGAGGAAGTTGAAGTGATCTGATCATATCAGCCATGGTCTCCTCTCCATCATAGTCTTTCATTAGCACAGAGCGTGGGAAGATGCCCGTTTAATGGCACAAAAGGAGCCGGTAAAAATGCTATGAGCTCCAAGCTGCATCAATAATTTAGTAGGCCTCTGCACAGCCCTGCTAATCAGCACCAATTTGTGTCGGAGCGAGCCACTTCTATCTACAAAATGGCCTTCTAAACCACACAGATAAGTTGAATAGACTTAGATCTGCAGATAATTGAACCACCTCTCCTTAAAAATTGCCACTGGCCAGCGGGAGCATCAATTTGAATATCAAATCATGGCCAAGCACAAAAAGCAGATTGTTTTCCTTTGTTCTTTTCTTTTTATTGATTTTATTTGTGTATTTATTTCTAACAGCTAATAGCATTTTAGCTAAAAAATCAAGCTAGTATGTTTACCTTATAATGTTGGCTTCATAGAAATGGCTTTGGCAGGCTCTGTTAAGAGCTATTAAAGGCATTAGCATGCATTACTACCCTGGAAAGTCTAATTTTGTTGACAAGCTGTCCTTAACGGAGAGATTTTAAGGGAATGTTGCTGGTCTCAAATGGCAGAAGGGACACTCTGGAGTCAAATAATGAAGCCTGTCCTCTTCATTTGGCTTCACTGTTTCCCCATAATTGCACATAAAATGTCACCAGAAGTGTGTTCAACTTAATTCGTTAGAATCAGTTTAACATAATAGCCCATCTTCTTGCTGTAGCAAATGCAACATATAATAATATACATAAAATGTATTAAAGGGGGCCGAAGGCCAATTTAGCTCAAAGGGAAATGATTCATTGATTTGCAATGAATCTATGGAACAGAATCACTGAGCCGAGCAAATGACTCGCTTAGAGTTCATTTGAACGGGCCGTAATTATAACCAAATCTATAGTGAAACACTATATCTTAGCAAGGTAACTTTAAATCGAACAGTACAAGACATTAAATGTGCAAACACGACACAAGAATATTTATCTTTTCAAATATATGGACAAGACTTTATTAGCTATTCTAAGCACAAAACTAAGGTCTAAACATAATCACGCACACGCACACACACATTCATACAGTCGCGAAAGGGAAAGAGTGAGTTGGAAAGAGTGAGAGAGAAAGTGTCAACTTTCTATATGCACGTAAGACATAACCTGAAAGGACCACCAAGCATTAATTTGAACCTTCATTTCTTAGAGAGGTTATTCAATTAACATCAAAGCACCAGTTCAGTTAGAGCCTGGAGTACTTGCGCTTTGTAGTGGCTGAGGGAATTCCCTTTGTCTGCGTCGCGTCGAATCCCGGCCGGGTCCGTTGCGTGGTTTGTTGTCTTTGAAGTGCAGGGATGGAAGTTTCGCCGCTGGTCACGTGTGATTAGCAAGCGAATGAGAGTCTTTTCCAATTCGAAGCGCGTTGCAAACTTAACTTTGAAACGAGACTTTTACGAAAAAGGAAATAAAGGAAAGAAATGAAAGCAAGGCGAGTCGGATGGCTTGACTGAGCTGAATTGTAACCCTGATCTTGATGGGTTATTCGTCTGCTGGTCGAATTTGGTCTAGTCGATGTAGAAGCATGCGAACATGTTCTTTGTTTCAGAGATAAGCACGAACAGAACACTCTCTTGCTGGTTTTAGAGAGAGGCACGGACTTAACAGTTACAGAACAGAACGAACTGAACAAAAATCTAAACAAAAATCATCTGAAATCTTCTGCAATCTACAAAAATCTCATCATGAGGTCCTTTGTTCGGATCTTTAACTTAAACTCTAGTCCAACCTCCAAGAAGCTTCTGGCCAATTGGAGGCGGATCTACTTCTTGCTTTATCATAATTTATGCATGGTCTGTGAGCTGGTCTCCAGCACTTAGCAGAGACAAAAGACCATCGTTTAAACCTTATGATTATTATAATCATAAAACAAAACCTTTTACGCAGATTTCAATCAAGCCATCTTTTGAATTACGAGAATACGGTTCGTTTAAGAGCAAACGAGGCATTCACACTTCTAATGGTTGTATAACAATTACAAGAGTTAATAGTTAACAACAATTACATGGTTATTATGTGATCTAAGCATAATACACATGAAGTGTAGGAACAACAAGAATTATGATTGGTTATAGGTCCAAGAATTGTTCTGTGGTGAGTTTATATGATTTTATGTGTGAGATCTCCGATCTCAATCGTAAGGTTACTGAGAGTTCAACTCGAAGGGGGACGAGGCAAAGGTGTTCTGTGGAACATCTCTGTCAGGGCATCAGAGGGGTCTTTGATGTGAGATCTCGTTCCACCATTTTGGAGCTGATTTGTCTTAGTTAAAATTACCATATTGACACGTTCGTCCTGTTTAGTGCCCCTCTCTTGGGCCTGTGGGGCAATAAAAGTCCTTATCTGCAGACAGCACGGAGTCGTTCCGTGACTCTGGAATGTGGGCTCCAGAACTTGGAGTGTTGAAGCCATGTGAATTAATCCCATGAGAGATTAATTTGATTAAGTTGTGTTTGATTCGCCTCGATTCTCTACATATTCCCCCCTCGATCGATGATGGGTTGAGAAGAAGACATCATTGAACGCTGGAGAAACAGAAGAAGAAGCAAACACACACAGCAAACAACAAAGCAACTCCTCCATGACTGGTCACTTTACTGGTGCAGGGCATTAGGTTATCTAGGCCTAACGAGTTCACTCTCTCAATATAGTCAATTATGTGGAAAAAGTTTAGTTCAATTTTAGGACCGTTATTCTAGTTTGTGTTAAACGGTGATTGATCAACTTTGTGACTAAATTTGATTTGTTTGTTTTATCCACTTCTAAATTGTTCTAGGTTTAGACCAATTTACCTTCCAAATTTTGATTCGAATGATGCAGGGAGTTCTCTGGCTAACATTCGTTCTAAGGTGACTTGCAAACGTCAGGCGTGGTGCGTCAATCCTTATATTGTAACCTTGACCCTTATGGGGTAAAAGGGATTTTACCTAATAAGAGAAGAAGGGAAGGAAGAGGTAAAACAAAACAAAGCAGTTGAGTGACTCCAGTATGGGTACTGTTGTGCAGTGACAGGTGTCAACATGTGATGAGAGGTGTTATACTTGTTGGGTGTATCGCTACATGTTTCCGGTGGAAAGGGTAGCTAATACAATGAAAAACATGTTTGTTGAATGTTTTCATGGTAGATGTGTTTAACTTGTGTATGTCAGTACAGTGTAGTGTAGTGCATGTACTGTATGTATGCTGTATGTATGTCAGATCTGTCTCAGTCTGTTTTGCTCCCCCCTTTGCTTAATGGCTTAGCTTTGATGAGCTTGTCACATCTTTGCCTTGGAAAGGGATCTTCTGTGATCTGCTGGGGGTCAGTCCCGTTAGGCAGGAAGTTCTCTGGCAGACATTGGGAGGTGGTTTGGCACGGATGCGTGAAGCTGTAGTGCAAAACGTGGTCTCCTTGTTGCATTCCACTTGTGATGCCTTCTGGTTGTGACAGACAGTCTGACTTCTGTGCTTACTGGTGTTGCGGCAGCACACAGATGGTTCTTGAGTTTGGAGCTTGTGGTGTGATGGGTAACCAGGATGGTGTTTTCTGGTACCTCTGGGTGTTTGTCAGTGGTTGACTGTGGGAGGCCACTTTGTTCTGTGTTGTTGTAGAACAGGTGGTCGTCTCAGGAAGGTGTGCAAGGTGATCACTGGTCTTCTGTGTTCAGCTTGTCTTTGAAGAGCACTCGTTGATTCCAGTCGTTTCCTTCTGGTGAGTCCCATGACTTTTCCACGTGGTTGGAGTGGTCGCTGTCGTTAGCATGGGAGTAGCATTCTCTGTGCTCCTGATGAAGGACTGTGGCGTTGTCATGCCACTGGGTGTCTTCCAGTGCAAGGCTTGTGTCTTGGCTGCTGGAGTTTGACACTGTGGATGTTTTCAAACCTTTCTTGGAAGTCATCTTTTGTTTGATGTAGGCCTTGTGTGTCAGGTCACGTAGCTGTTGAAGCGTCATGGTGACTGGGCAGGCCATGATGCCGAGATGACGACTCAGTCCTGGGTGCAGGTTTCTCAGGAAGAGGGTTTTGAAGTTCAGATCCTCTTCAGATTCAGGTTTGCTATGTGCACCGAAGTAGGCTTGTC